TTGTGCGGCGGCAGGATCCGGATTGGGTGGCTGGGCCTGGCGTGCGAGATGCAGCCTTCCCCCGTTAGGGCTCAGCGCGTTTTTCTTTTTGGAGAGGTTTTTGCTATAGGGCGCGTGCGCTCGCCAGAAAGATAGAGAGAGACACAGAGAGACAGAAAGCGAGAAATCACCCCCTAGGGGAATGGCCATGCCGCAGTCCCTTCTCCTCCATTCTCCTCTCGGGATCTTGGGCACGCACACATGCCCGATGTGAGTTCAAGCCAAGTGCTTTTCATCACGGAAGTGCTTAAGGTCCGTGAAACAGACGAGGGAGCAGTCACCCCGAGCCCCGCCCACACCCCGTCGGCCCACACTCACTTCTGGACAACAAGCCTCTTACGTTGGTCACAGCCCACGGAAATCAGCGCCGACTGCAGAGAGACAGACGCACACCCAGGTCACCGGGTGACCGTAGCCCCGCACATGACACCTACAAGGTGCAGCCCGCAGCTGCTGTGCAGGTTAAGGCGCTGGGTTCCCACACGGCTGGCTAAGTTCGAGTCCCAAATCTGGGAGCTTGAAACTCAAGCTGGGTGCGTGTGTAGCCAAGATCCTGAGAGGAGGATGGAGAAGGGACTGTGGCATGGCCGTCCCCCAGGGGTGATTTCTCCCTGTCCTCTGTTTCTCTCTGGCAAGCCCAATCACCCTATAGTCAAAAAAAAGAAAAGAAAAGAAAAGCAACGTGTGCAGGGACCAGCAGTTGGCGTCATGGCTATGTCACTGAAGTCCCATGTAGCTGATCATGGTTCGAGTCCTGGACCGTTGTCCTGCCCTGGGAGGACAGTCGAACAGATTTCCTGAGTGAAGGAGTGAGCCGGGACAAGCAGTGTAGTGTTACAATACGGAGACGACACCGTGTCTTCAGTGTCGTCTGTTTATTGTGGGCAGCACGGAACAGCGGAGACGACGCAGTGTCACAGCTCTTCAGGGTCGCATCGTCTATCGTGAGCAGCACGGAGACGACGCGGTGTCACAGCTCTTCAGGGTCATCTGGAGATGATGTAGTGTTACAACTCTCCAGGGTCTTCAGGGTCGTCTGGAGACAGTGCGGTGTTTCAGCTCTTCAGGCTCTCCAGGGTAGTCATCGCCTTCTTGGTCGTCTGTGTAGTCTTCTTGGTCATCTTCTGGCTACTGTGGGCCAGGCATCGTGTTTATATACACGCTGGTGGGCTGTGATTGGTTGTAAACGATGGGTTATGATTGGTTGCTTTTGGACCAATCATGAGGTGCCAGATATGCAAATTTGAGGGATTCTAGTGGCCAATCAGAGCAAGGTTTCGAAGGTCAGGTTTTTTGAAGGGAACCAATCATGGCAATTGTTTGCTCTCTGAGAAACCTCGGCCGACTCCTGGTGCGCAGCTTCCCACAGAGACGGTGGCTTAAACAGACGCCGGGCGCGTGTGCGTGAGTGCCCGAGATCCCGAGAAGAGAATGAAGGGACTGCAGCATGGCCAACCCCCGGGAGGATGATTTCTCACTTTTCCTCTCACTGTCTCTGGTCAAACAGAAAAATACAAATAACTAGTAAAGTTGAATAAATAAATGGTTTTTTTTTTAAACAACAACAACAAAAAGCACACCTTACACAAGGACCCAGTCACATGTGAAGGGTTTGAGCACCTAGGCCTGACTCCCAGCAGGGCAGCCCCGAGGCGTGGGTGACTCGACACCCACAGCTGACCCCTCCCCCAGAGCTGTGGCCCCGCTAAGAGCCCCGTGTCCTGCAACAACCCAGCTCTCTGTCTCCTCCTGCTGGTGGACGTGTGCGCTTCCTAAAGACGCGGAGAGACAGGGAGAAGCACCCCGTGGAGCGCAGGCAGGACATAGTCCCTTCTGGGATCTGAACACAGACCCTGTGCGTTTTTCTTTCTCTGGAGAGGTTTTTGCTATAGGGCGTGTGCACTCGCCAGACAGAGAGACAGAGAGCGAGAAATCGCCCCCCAGGGGGGATGACGACGCAGCAATCCCTTCTCCTCCATTCTCCTCTCAGGATCTTGGGCACGCACGCACATGCGCCCAGCATGAGTTTAAGCCACCGGGTCCAGGACTCGAACCGTGGTTGACTACGTGGGAGTCCAGCGATGTAGCCTTATGCCAACTGCTGGCCCCAGCCCTCCCAGTGAGTTTTTCAAGCTTAGATCCGTCCCAGTGTGTTTTTCAAGCTTAGATCCGGGACTGAAACCCGTGGTGGGCCCTGTGGGATTCGCTAGGCCGGGGGCCAGCCCATGAGATTTCATTTAAATGGCGTATTGTGTTACGTGGCCTCCTGTGTCCGGTGTCTCTCATGGGTTTGAGGTATGTCCACATGGTATCCCATGTAGGGGTCATTTCCCGCCCCCCCCCAGAATTAATTCTTTTATTTATTATCATTATTATTACTATTTTAGAGGTTTTTGCTATAGGGCCTGTGTGTTCAATAGAGAGACAGAAAGTGAGAAATCACCCCCCAGGGGGATGGCCACATGGGGGAGGCTGCGCACCAGCGAGTCTGCCGAGGTTTCTCAGAGAGCAAACAATTACCATGATTGGTTCCCTTCCAAAAACCTGACCTTAGAAACCTTGCTCTGATTGGCCATTAGAATCCCTCAAATTTGCATACCTGGCATCTCATGATTGGTCTAAAAGCAACCAATCACGGCCCACCATTTACAACCAATCAGGGCCCACCGTTTACAACCAATCAGGGCCCACCATTTACATCCCACCAGCGAGTATATAACCACGATGCCTGGCCCACAGTAGCCAGACGACGACGACCAGGAAGACGACAACTGAAGAGCCCGAAGAGTTGAAACACCGCGCACTCTCCAGACGACCCTGAAGATCCTGAAGAGCTGACACTGCATCGTCTCCAGACGACCTGGGAGACCCTGAAGAGTTGTAACACTACATCGTCTCCGGACGACCCTGAAGAGTTGTGACACCGCGTCGTCTC